CCCCCCCCCCCCCCCCAGACCCTAGAGGAGAAGTGTCTTGCACCGAGGATCCACCCCGAGGTGTGATTTGGTGGTATCAGCTGGGGACTGGGACCGCTCCATGGGGAGGTTTGATTTTGGTGTGCCCGCCGGGGAGATGATTTCATCCCTTCTTGCCTTCTTGTTTGAAGCGGGCATAGATGTAGAGGGGCGGCGTGTAGGGTCTATGGAACCATTCGGCCATTGCTTGTCGGGACTGGGGCTGTAGGGCGTGTAATTCAAGCCCTTAGGCGCCGAGATGATTTCAGGTCTGCGGGATCATCGTTACATAGCTGCCCCAAGTCTACGAAGCCAGGATCTGAGGGCCTCAAATCAGGGAGATCCCCAAGGGGAGTCCGCATAGGACAAGCCCCTTAGATTTCTTGGTTGACTTGTAGTTATAGTGCCATCTGAAGGAATAATTTCCAAACGCGATGGGTCATTTTTCATAGTAGTACGGGTTGTGTCACTTTGCTCATTGAAGACGGACCCCATGTTTGGAAGTATCCATGTATATCTGCGATAATGTAGTTTGCTTTCAAGTTCTGAGTGACACAGGCTGTGCTGGCGCGATCAGGCTTGTGCGATGTTCTCATGCCAGGCTTTTACCGACAGCACACAATATCAGGTACTCATATCCAGCGGCACTATTGAAACCAATCCTGAGAAGCTCCATGTGGAACCCTTTGTACCCATAACCGTCCACGGTCATGAACCATGTTATGAGCTACTGTCAAAAGTAGCCTTGTTGAGGGACCCTTAACAGTGGACATATGAGCCCCTCTCGAAGTTTAGTGTTGTCCTTAATAGAGACCCTAATCAGGACCCCACGTCCATTAATCTAGGAAATTCTGGCTATAGCTCGCATACAGTGAGACCCCTTTGGCCTTGAACTTAGAAGCCTGGCTCCTCAACATGAAGCAGGCCCTAGTGTGGATCAATGCTAGGGATCCTTTATCTTTCTTGGGTATGGGATTCCGTATATCTATGTAAAAAGGATCCTCTTTTTTCTTTCTAGGGTAGTGTGGACTGAGTAGTGAAAGCGTTTCATGGACCGTGGAGAGGACCAACGGGCTGCTCCAAACTGTGGGGCGGCAGCGGGCTGCAGTAGAGGGCTTTAGTGCGCAGCGGCCTTGGAATACGCGGTGGTTTCCGATACATGGCTTTTCTTCTGTGGTTCAATGAGTTTAGTAGGATAGCGTTGGGGCTCCGGGAAATTCCCACATGGGCACATATAGTTTCTTGTGGTCCATTTTGCGTGGATGGTTGAAAATGCTGGCGGAAGCTTCCGTAAGGTTGATGTCAAGTCTTGAGATGGTTCCGAAGATGTTCTTTGGTTCGAGGAACGCGTCTGCTGCGACTCACAAATGTTCAAGGATCAGCGGCTGCCACCTTCAAAAGCATGCGGTGGAGGGTTAAGGCCTCCAGCTTGCGCTACAAAAAGCCAACCTCAGAGAATTTTCGTGCTGGGGCTTTCATCTGTCACCAGTCGCTTGATGGTCGAAGGCCCAGGCCAGCCTGCAGCCCTAGACCCGTTTGGAGCTGCCCACCCCACCCGCCCCAGAGTTCTTTTGGTCAGCAACCTTTGTGTGATATCCACGTATCCTATGGCTCCAGGGTTCACATAAGGGCTATCCCAAACTTGAACCCCCAAACCGCAAACCCCACATACCCGTATACGTCCAAGCCTAAACCTTAAACCTCCCAATAGAGGCACTGGCTGGCTGTCAATGGCGCCGGTGACCTGTATTTTAGCGGACATCCTCTACCCAAGGCGGGGCGGCTTAAGGCCAGGTATTCGAGTTTTAGGCTATGACTTCGGGGCTTGGAATGCCAACGTTCAGACTTTTAGGTTTAGGAGGTAGGATGGGGCTTGGAGATCTCCGTTGAAGTAGGGCGTTTCAGCACATTCAAGTGACTTCAAGTGACCAAAGCCGCATGACATCCTAGGGGGTACCTACTTCGAACGTGCCCAAGTGTTTGACAAGTTTCTTAATCGATTGATGGTTTAGGCTAGCCCGGCTTTCTCCCGCATGTGCATTTCTCAAACAGTGATCCCCTGAAGTATCCCAGAACCATTCAGTTCTTCACGTTCATGACCATCGGCAAACGCGGAATACTTATAGTATAACTATATATAGCCCTTAGTATAACCTCTACTTAGACTGTTCATGGGTGGGAGCAGGACCCGATGCATATCCTAAACCCTAAGCCCTGAATCATACCCTTCAGGATGGAGAAAACAGTACCACGGACTCAGTTTGGCGGCTCAATAACGAGCAGGCGGGGGGGATGCTGACAGGGTTTTGCGCTATAATGGGCTTGGGGTTCAGGGTTTAGGGCTTAGGGTTTAGGTTTTAATTAGGGTTTAGGCCTTAGGATTTGGTGTTCAAAGTTTTAGGGTTCAGTTCGTACTATCTACCGTCTAGGGCATTCTGGTAGTTATCGAAGAAAGGAATGGAGTATGGGGATTGTTTTGTGCAGGTTGCACTACATGTGGATGGGAGGACTAGCTGGATCCATTTCTTCATTTCCTGGTAACCACCAACAAGTAGGTCTTGCGATTTCCAATTTAAGGTTTAAGGCTAAACCCTAAACCCGAAACCTTGGGCCCCTCGGGTGGTTGCCTTGCTTTAACAGCCAGCAGAGCTGTGTGGCGAGCTGCTCCTCCTGGAGCTTGGGGACGGCTGGGGCCTGAAGCTAGTGCCTCCGGAAAAACAAAAGTTTAAGGCTAAGGCTTTTCTTGTTGTGGAAGTACGGGTGTTGCAGACTTGATATGTATAGGAAGGCAAGTGGATCCCCAGTTCCGAAGCAGAAGGGCTAGAACTTTCACGAAATAGGCAGTTGCTTGGGGATTCAGGACTCCTCGTAACAGCCCGGCATCGATGAGACCCCGTACTAGGGGTTTGTGGAACCAACTGTCAGCAGACCCCGTAAAAACAAGAACCATCATAGTGATCCCGGGTCTTGAGTCATGGTGACCAATGCCTGAAGATCCTGTGCTTTCTTCAACTGGCAAGCTTGGCTGTTGGGTTCGGCCTAGACCTGGAAAGTAGCAATGCAATATATATCCAACGCCCTCCAGTCGACGTCATGCTTTCTGCAGAAGATGTCCTAGAACACAGCCTTGGGCTGGAATCAGGTCGCCTTGTCGGCCGATTTATGCAAGCGCCCTATTTAGAGTTTCGCGCGGAGGTCCTGAAGTGGTACACCCTGAACCCTCGGAACCCCAATGTCCTGATAACCTGCATCCAAGCTAAACCACGAGTGAGTAGTATATGTCAGGAGGGATAACTATATAAGAACGGGCCCAGCCAGCAAAACATCTGAACCTTCATCCCTGAACTCGAAATCCTTAAACCCTAAATCCCTGAACCGTAAATCCTAAATCCTTAAACCCTAAATCCCTAAATCCCTGAACCCTTAATCTCTAAACCCTAAATCCCTACTAAACCGTAAATCCCTAAACCCCAAATCCCTAAACGCTTAATCTCTAAACCCTAAATCCCTATAAGCCCTCAACTCCTAAACCTTCAAGTGGCAGGTGGTCACCGGTGACACTTTCAACCCAGCAGAGGTATATACCGCAGAGAACACTGGTCAGCCGGACTCCAAGGCTTTTGGACCTGCTGTGTGTGTTTACGGTTTAGGGTTTGGAGTGTAGGGCTTAGAGTTCAGGGTGTATGGTTTAGGGTTCACCTGCTGCTGGTGCTCCTATATCTGTCCCTATATGAGGTATGGTCTAAACTCCTCAAACGGGGTTATATAGGGATTATATAGGAGAGAATCATAGGGTTTACTAAGGGGATGCTAGGAGCTCAGACTATAGCTCAATTGATCCCCTACCGTGGTACCTATATTAAGGTTTTCTGTGTCTAGTTCACTTGGTTTTGGAGGCTTTTGGGTCTAAACCGCTTTTTTGGGTGGGAGCCTAGTTCAGGAAGTTCAGGAGTTCCTTGGGGTTTAAGGTTTAGGGTTTCAGGTTTAGGTCTTTTGGGTTTCTGGGCTTAGGCTGTTTTTTGGCGGGGTCTAGACTGCTTGGTTTGACAGCTTAAGGTTTGCGAGTTGCATTTGCACTCCCGTTTCAGGAGCGGTATCGAAAGTCCTTATATCCACTTGCCGTTAAGCACCAGTAACATGAAGGCTTACGGCGATGCTGGCCGATTGTCTTCGGTTCTTCGTGCTGCTAGATTTAACATGGAAGTTTACCTTGTTTGAATTTAGAGGGTTGGGCCCATGTAGCCTAAGCCTCCACACATGCCTCATGCCCTTCGACCCAACACACCAAACTTCGTTCAACAAAATTCCCAACTTGCGCCCAAGATTAGCAGCAATGGTCTTGAAAAGGGGATACAGGAGTTATATAGGGGGTATATAGGTTTTATATAGGTCTCACTGTCGGATAGCTCTCTTCTTACAGCAACCCGCCATGAGTTATACCCCACAGCAGTTGGATCCAAGTATGGCCTTTCCACCACATGCGATGCATTGGGCATCTTAACACAAACCTCCATAAGTTTATAGTTCCCCTTAAGTAGATAGAATATGGGGTATATGGGGATCTCATTATAATATACCCAAAACCATATTCTATCTACTTAAGGGGGACTATAGGGTCTAGGGTTCGCTTGTCATGGTTTTTTCCAGCCCTTAAAGTTTTGGAAGGGCCGCGCAAGGCTGTCAGGCAATTCAAGGCCTTGACAGCACGATGCATTTACAGCATCTTCTAAGACATGTCAACCCATCGCGTGCAATTCCCCCAACCTTAGGGGTACATGTACCCAATAATCGGGTACTTGGGTTTTGGGTAAGAGCAATTCTACTATAGGTTTTGGGCAAGTATATGATTATTGGGTACTTGGACCTTTAGGGCAAGGACAAACTAGAGCGATGTAGCCATGCAGCCTCACTGACCTCTCTTTGACTAAATAAACTGGCCGGTATTACTCCCAAAGGGAATGATGAATAGGGAAATCCTCGACAAACACAGTATTTCCGGGCCATGTGTGACCTTTCTCCTGGCACCATACACACGGCGGTCCATGATGTCGAGAGACTGTAGCTATTCCCCCCGTCAGTCTTTGTGCAGAACGAGGATACTATAGTCATATCTAGTCATCAGGGTTGCATGTTCATGTGTTTATCTTACGTTGTAAGCAGAAAACCTTCTTAGTCGGATGCAGGTTTTCCAGCTTTCCGGACTCGCCGTGGATTCCTTCTTCATCTTCTGGGGAAACCAGGCATCATTTCTGAGTTAAGCCTGTTCTGACTGCGCCGGGGGCTTTGTGGGCTTGGGATCGTAGGTGGGAGATTGTCAGAAGAGCCATGAAATAGCGCCTTTTCAGACGGCCACTTTGCTAAATGTCCAGAGTTTGCTCTTTGTCCCAGTTTTCTACCAGACCTCGACGGGATGTGCTCTTGAGTTCGTGCTGCAAGTTTTTGTCCCGGTGGAAAGTGTGTATAGGCGACGCAGAAACTATCTCTAGAAACTATCTCTATGGACGTATGTGAACGGGCCCATACCTGTGAACATGTACAGTTTCGTCGGTCAGAGAGTTGAGCTGCTGTTTTGGTGTCTTGATTTTGCGGGATGCCTCACAAAAGCATGTAGCTTAGAAAAGTGAAGGGCGCAAGAAGTATGTTGCAACTGCACTTTCCATAAACTTGCCTCAGAGATGTCTGCCAAAGCCTGTCAGGGGAACTGCAAATGTGGGTTCTGTCGCATGAGATTTTTCAAAACGGGAGCCCTTAGGGAGCCCAGGGGTAGAAGGCATAGTGTATGAAGAAAACTAAGCGAGTAAGGGAGATTGAATAAATTGTATTTGCCCATGACAGGGACAGCAAGACAAGAACGCAGGTTTTTTGGAAAGGCCGAATTCTCAAAACAACCTCTGCAACAGTCTCGAGAGGTGTCCAGAAGTAATTCGCCACAGACCCTACAAGTAGGATCCCTACTTGCGCCCTTTTTGTTCAAAACCCTACCTAGGCCTCGAAATTTTACCCCCTTGTGGAATACCTAGCTTCACGTCCAGTATCTTCTAGATACAAAAACTGGGTACCCTCAAAAAGGTATAGAGGTGTAGGTGAGCCCCCTAAGCTTCCTGTTTTTCACCCATCCCCGAAAGGCGGGTGGTAAAGACCACGGAGCGGTGAACAAGGGAAGCCGAGCAAATATCGGCCTGTCCTCGCAGGACGTGATTTAGGGCTTTTTGGGTTTAGGGTCTTAGGGTTTAGGGTGTTTGGCGTTTAGGGTCTAAAGTTTTAGGGTCTTAGGGTTTAGGGTTTTTTTTGTGTTCAGGGTTTAGGGGTTAGGGTTGGTGAGTCTATATGAGCTATAGTCTAAACTCCTTGAAGGGGGTTATATAGGGGAGTATACAGGGGACTACTATAGGGGTTACTTAAATGAAAGAGAGAACGAGAAATTAGATGGAATCTGGGTGAGAAAGGGGTTTATGGGGATGGTATGTAGTGGGATTATCCAGAAGAACCAATGCACACAGAAATCGCCTTTGTATCTAACACCTCGGTGTCTTGATCACTTTTTCAGGGTATAGGCGGTCTAGATTTGAAAGTTGGGACACGTGGATGGTTTCCTTATTCCTTTGTCAAGCAGGGCGTTGGGTATTGAGCTACGTGTTGCTTTCCTTCTAAATTCCATGTGCAGCAGCGCTCAGCTGGATCAATGCCTGAACAATAAGAGTTTCTGCAGTCCCTTTTACATATGTCGCGAGACAGGACCTGTAGAGAACGCTTTCTACAGTTGTAGCCTCGAGTCCTGCCTGCTTGGCAGCCCACTGCTCGTAGGACATGTTCGTCACAACCCTTGCGGATGGCGTGGATGAGGCCGCTTTGGCAAGCACACATATGTAGGCACAGACGGCATTCCGTGCACCCGCTAAGTTGGAAAACAGGCGACACTATGTCAGGCCACGTATTCTTCGATGTTTGGGCCACATATTCTTGGATGTTTGAGGAGGATGTTGACCATAGCTGATGTGCGAATAAGGAAAATTGGCCTGGGCCTTCAGGCATGGCTGGGAGATTTCCTGGGCATAGTCCTGACCTATTGGCTCAATATGTTTTTTGAGCAAGGCTTACGGATTATTATGATCTGGAAATAGATATAGTGCTGATCATAGTATTCAACAACTGTTTATTGTATAGCTCCTGACCTACTGGGCCGGTTGTTCACCGGATGCTTCAGGGCACCTCTTGTTTTGATATCTTGACGTTCGGGCCAGTAAACAATGGAAATACCGCAGGGTCTTCCTTTATCCGGCTTCAGTGCCCTCTTCTTGTTATTGTTTACCTCATGCCTTGTGACTTGAAGTCTTTTAGAACGATTTTGCCACGGAAGCATTAAACACCCAGGAGCCTGTACAATTCCCAGGAGGTTAATGGCAACATATAATCGGGAGCTTTCCAACACAACCCTGTATAGAATCTGTGAGCAACAGGGACACCACAATCACTTGTAGTCTCCATGTATCCCTGGTAAACCTTAAACCGTCGAATAAGATATGTCCCATAGTCTAGACTCCTTATAGTGGGGTTATATAAGAGATTATATAGGGGACTACTATAGGGTTTATTAAGGGGGATACTAGGAGTTTAGACTATAGCTCATATGTCCCTAGGGTCACCAAGGGAACCTACTTTCAGAAGTTTGTACTCGACCGGCTCATGGTCAGGACCTTTTGGCTGGGTATGGGTTTAGGGTTTAGACTTTAGAGTTCAGGGTTTAGAGTTTAAGGTTTAGGGTTCAAGGTTTCAGATTCAGGGTTCATATAGGGCTTAGGGAGGTTACCACCGCCCTGACCACAAAGGCTCCGCAAACCTGTCCTCGCGCAAGTCTGCTTGTCAGGACTTGCCCCAACCTTCTACAGCCTTGAAAGCCAGATAGCTATCTCCTGCAATAGGAGCGCATCAAGCTGGATTACTAGTTCAGGGCCAAGACCAAATCCTTTGATTTGGACTGGATACGCCCAGGTTCGAGGAATCACCACCTCCGGCACCGAAGTCTTTTGGGTGTCGCCTGAGGGTGTGTATGGGCAGAGCAAGACGACAACCAGCAAGGCCCATGCTGTTTCCCGGCTATCTGCAGCAACAATGTGTCGAATGTATTGACACCATAGTATAGCATAGGCCGTGATATTTGGGGCTTCCCTATGCATTCGGTGCACTGCTCCTGGCACGTTTTCAACATCAGCGTGAGGGCGTCAAGGTTTTTCCATTTCAGCTTCCTTTTTCACGGACCCTCTGGAACAGGATCCGTGCACTTTGTAACGGCCATACTATATTCTAGTATATCAGAGTCTATTATGGTACATTGTTGTATATGACAGTATATTCTAGTATATAGTACTATGTAAATCCCTGGCCTTGGTTCAGGTTGTCTTAGGAGTCGGGCCCTGGTTCAGGGAGTGCTGTAGTTCGGCTACCGCGCTTCCAGGCCTCAACCGGAAACAAAAAGCCAAGCATAAATGCAGTCTAGCACTAAAAAGGTGGTCATCCCCGGCAGAGGCAGCCGCCATCGAATTCCATCAACTATGAGATGAAATCATGACATCCCACTCCCAGAGCAGGCGCTGATCTTAACATAAACAACTGCACAGAGCAAAAAAAGGACCCAACGCTCAACATCCGCCAAAAACCTTGCGTACAAAAAGCAGGCCCCAAGTCTTTCCTCTTAAGTGTCTTTGGACAGATCCGAGCTATGCATTCCATGAACAGATGTCATTGGGATGAGGCCCACGTCTGCGTAGCTTCCCAGGCATTTAGGGATGCCAAAGATGGGTTCATGCTTACTTTCAGTGGGACTGAATATCCACTACAGTAGCCGGTTATAGCCCTCAGATACTTCTATCCGTCCTCATAGTCAGCCATCATGCTCCACGCAGATCAGTTGGGGATTAGATTACAAGTAGCCTAGCATTAGAAAATGCACATGTGCGTGTGATTGATGTGAGTAGTTCCATGTGCAACTTTGCGACTTTGTAAATGGTCCCCAGGCACTGAGAGCAACCAGAAAAGATAATGGTAGTCATGGCTACTTATGTGGGCCCACCCTTTGCTTACTGGTGCTTAAAGGGAGAATATGGGGATTATCATAGGTGTAGATGCGGTGGTTATCAAAGGATTGTTATAAGGATCCACTCCCCCACTCTCCCTGAACCCTATAGCCTTAAGCGCCAGTAAGGAGACAGGGGGATGTCCTGACGCATCTTGCAGGTCTCAGACCCAGCCGTAGGACTGATGTCGCCGCCTATGTCAGCCAAATGGTAGCTTGCCATGCAAGTTGGCGTTTGGTGGGCCTACAGGGAGGGTTGAGGGTTTAGGTTTCTGGCTGCGTGCGAGCCCAGGTGCAAAAAGGGCTTATAAGGGTTGGATAATTATTTCGGGGGTTGGGGTCGTTCACGGGGTATAGGGGATATATATACATATATTTATATGAGGGTATACGGGGCTTGTGTCGGGTTTATTGTTTCTTCTAGAGCCAAGAGGATTTGAAGGCTCATTCTTCCGGGTTTGGGGCTCTGGGTTTGAGCCTGCAGCTAGCCTGACAAGCTGGACATTCGTGAGCAACTCAGTCCTTTGGCTCCAGAAGAAACCCTGAAGCCTATACAAGCTCCATATAACCCTATATGGCCCTATATATCCCCTCTCTCTCTCTCTCTCTCCTCTATACATCCTTTAACAGCACCCCTACTTACCAAGTCCTCCGACCCTCGAATTACTCTAGAAACATCCCAGGAACCCGATGAGCATCGCCTGGGACGGCTTGGGCCTTGGGTTGGGGTTCTGTTAGGGTGTAAGCGTTCAGGGTTTAGGGTGTAAGACTTCAGGGCTTGGGGTGTAAGAGTTCAGGGCTTAGGGTGTAAGAGTCAGGGCTTGGGGTGTAAGAGTTCAGGATCTAGGTTCAGGGTGTAGGGTTTAGGGTGTGAGGGTTTGGGCTTAGGGTTGAGGGTTTCGTGTTTGGGGCTTGTAGTTTAGGATATTTAGTAGTTTGGGAAACATTGGACAATTGAATGCCAAGATATTGGGACATGATGTGAGTTACACAGGGACTATATAGCGGATCAAAGAACTGAAGCTCAGCTACTTTTTACAAGGAGACCCTATCAATTCCTACATGCACATATTACGGTCGCGTATTTGAAGTGTCTCAACAGCAACCTAGTAATTCAGAAGCTTCAGCCATAAGAGGCTGAAGGGATGAGGATTTATGCTCGGGTCATTGTAAAGTCTGGGGCTCATGGAAGATTCCAAGTTCATACCTACAAGTGTGGTAGGACCTAAGAAGATTCACAGTTCACGGCCTGTTTTTTAGGATTAACCTCAGTCGCAGACCCGGACTGAGCTTGTTGGAGACGCGTGGCTCTCTGCTGTCAGGTCAGGTCACGCAATTCAGGTTCTAAGTAGGCAAGACATCAGAATGCATACCCGGCAGGGTCTGAGCATCGCTCAAGTCCAGCTATATAGATTGTTGCCTTTGGGCTATGGGGTCATTCTTGTCACAAACCGTAAGGGTCTAAGTACCAAATAATCATATACTCACCCAAAACTGATACTATAATTACTGTTACCCACAACCCAAGTACCTAAATATTGGGTACTTGGACCCTAAACCCTATATATATATACCCCTAGATACCCCTTCAAAGAAACCTAATTATGGGGAACATGGACCCTCTGGGTTGGGGCTCCCACTAGTGTATTCGATCAGCTCTTGGCTGTTGCGACTAAAGCTTCTGAAGCTATCATGCGTAGCACTGCTCCGCCTCCTTCTGGTCCTCCTCTTGCACTTCGCTGCACATACCTGGACCCCAAAAGTATGTAAAATAATGGCCCTGATGGCTGTTATTATGGGTTTAGGGCTTTTATTTTACATACTTTGGGGTAGTCATCATCAAGGTCATTCTAACCTGAAAACATACGAAAACTCAACGAAGAACATATTGAATGGACAGTATTCTTTGTAGGGCCCCTGTTGTGCCTGGGGGTAGGACGATTTTCCAACCTAATCCCGTTGATCTGTTTGCAAGCGGCCTTCCACACTCAAATTGTCAAGCTTTAGCCCCTCGATTGCGGACATAGATAAGTGGAGCCTCTCTAAACCCCAATTACAACTAATGTTCTGGGGGTCGTCATTCTCGTAACAAGAAGAAAAGCTTCGTGTAGTTGCCGGAGGAGTAGCAGCAGTAATGTATAGTCTTCCTTAACCAGATAGAATATGGGGTATATGGGGATCTTATTAGTACCCAAAGCCATGTTCTATCTACTTAAGGGGACTATAACTCATAAGGTGCTTCTTGGTGTTGATGAGGCGCATCCAACCTGTACCTGACGGATGTATCTGCTGGCGTGTCGCGGCTGCAAGGGAGAAGGTAAAACTGCAGGGGCTACACGGTTTCTTTAAAGTGGCGACTGGAAAGCTAGGGTGGGCCTACGATGCAGCATGCATCCGAGAATCTTGTTGCGTCTCTGCCCCAGACTCCTTTCTCATCACTTCTGCGCTAGATCAAACATCGGAGGCCATCTACACCCTTCCATCGCGAATATCGTCCGCGCAGTCATTGAGCAAATTCGCTGATGCTCCGGACTGTCACGGTCTTGCAGTGTGGGCCTCTGTCGTTTCTCTTCAAGGTTTGGAGTTTGAGTTTACATGCTGAGTTTCTCGTGGATCTTGAAAGTTTGGCTGTGTTGGGCCTAATTTCAGGCGCAGGGCTGCCAGCAGATTCAGGTTTGAAGGTTTGGGGCTTTGGCTGGTGCCTGGGGATGGGTTTAGGTTGAGGCTTATGTCTGTATGAAACGGAGGATGTGGCTTCCGTGTGGAGGTCCTTTGTGCCCTCCCTGAATTCAGGAGGCTCGCACGGGTTTTGCCAATCTGAGTTACAAAGTATGCACACATAGGAAGATCATGTACCGGGGGTAGGCTACCTGTCTACAGGGCAGACTACGTCGCTCGATGGAATCATCATAGCTGCTGACCGTTCCGAGCAGAAGCCTGTTTCCTTGACAGGCATCACTCGTTGATTCGATGCTAGGTTCAGCAAAAACACATGCCATCAGCTCCAATAAAGAGACGTTAAAGACCCGGAAGTCAAGATTGATGAAGCTAACACCAGGCGGCAACCGTGAACGGTTTAAGCTCATAGAGTTTGGGCCCTGCACACGGCGTGAAAAGGAATTGACGCCAGCGGGGGGAGGCCGAGACGTTCAAATCTTTCCACCCCATGAGGCAGTTCAGAAAGAGCCAGCATCCTTTGCATTGCTCATTTCACCTCTGTAAATTTGAGACATCAACACACGCCGAAGTCTGAAGCAGCTTTGGAAAACCCAATTTCAACACACAACTAGATCAAAAAGAAGGTTCTCACGCACACATAGCCCTACAATTTGGCATTTCTTCAAAACTGGGCTATCTGCCATGTAGGGAGTCCTGGAAAGGACCGTGCTCTTTCCACACTGAGACCACTTCCGTGAAATCAAAGTTGCTGCCTCGAACAGGACAGGATGCAAGCCCCGAACACAAAATTTGCGAGGTAGCCCGACCCTTCATCACAGGTAGAAACATAACTTAGATGTGATAAGCTAACATCGCCTCTGTCATCCCAACATATCCATAGGGCTCCCAAATCGTCAGAACCCTAAGCCTGAAGCATACGCCAACTTTGCAACACATCATGTTGTTTCTTATTGGTTCTTAGTCGGGACTGCGGGAATATAACCTCTATGCAACCCCTATATGATATACTGCCATTTTACCCACCCCCAACCCTAAACCATATGCCTATATACTATACTCCCACATCCCCTACTAAAAGCCAGTAAGTTGTGCTGAGATTCTGCTGAGTGCGAAAGGCTTGCCTGGCTCTCATTTGGACATTTAGGGTTCAGGGTTTAGCATTTGTGGTTTAGGATTTTTCAGATCTGGCGTCTACAGTTTCGAATTATTTGTTTAGGTTCTAGTTCAAGTCCGAATTCAGGGTTTTCTTGATTTAGCATGTACTTGCTACTTCTTAGTAGGGTATAAGGGAATATATCCCTGGTGACAACCAATAAAATGTAGGGTACATTCTGGCCATTGTGGGGACAGGTATATTGAGCAACTACCATATGAAGCATGTGTTGGCACTTAAATATGATCTGATCAAGTCCCGTGCCCATCAATGTGCAGTCCGTATGTCCTGTAGCTCACTGTTTAGCGCTTAGGGTATAGGGTCTTGGGCATAGTTGGCCCATTCATGTTGTAGAGCGCCTGGGTTTTGTAGTGTAGAAATGATCTGACTTGGAATGCCATCAGACTTGTTGTTTCTGATCTTGGATGTTCCCTCATACAAGCTCTTACGTGATATGTTTTAGTAGACAGAGATTCACCTTGGCTTTTGTAGGGTTACCTAGCTTGTTGGTAACTGTGACAATGGCATCGGCCGCTTACGCGGGCCCTAATCCCTAAACCCTCATCAAAGCTAAAACCGATCTATCTCGACTTCCTTTGCGAGGCCGGGCTTTGTCGTGAGGTCATCCTTAACTTATCGGTTCGCAGTAGGGAATGGGGGGCATATAATCCGTGTATAGTTCCTACATATCATATTCCCTTATTCCCTACTAATCCCTGAACCGCTCGAGTCTTGGCTTTCACTCTCGAGTGAGGGCATTGGCACCGGATGAATAATTGTCCTTCACTGCTGGCATATTCTGTTTATTGCGTATCTTACAGGGAAGATCTCAGAACTTGGGCCACAGGGCTAACCCGACCCTCCCCCCAACTAACATGGAACCCCAAACGGGCCCTGTAAACATTGGGATGATAGTCAGGGCCTATAAATCAGACTCCGAAATAGACTTTGCACCATGCTTCTGCCGCCGCCCTTCCCACGGAGTGGTTCTCCGTAACCTCCAGACAACTTATAAGATTATTCAACGAACGTGGTTCACAGCTTTGTTTTTGTGGATGAGGTCTACTCTCTTAATGAACCAGCGGTCTTTCTTGAAGCTGTGCAGGGGGGAGGAGGATGTCCATATGATGTGAGATTGAGTTTCTGTAGGCTGCTTTGTAAATTCATCACCAAAAAGCCGGCCTTACTCCTTTCGTATTGCTCTGACGCATGAATCCTGTGAGGATACTGAGACGTTTCCGAAGCTTAGGTTTCCTAAATTATATAATCTGTGCAAAATGTCATGAAAAGAAAGCCACTCATCTCAGAAACGAGGAGAAGTTGGAGCAAGCTCTATGGCCACCGTATCTCTAAACCCCGGACCCTAAAACCGTTTGAGAGCAGCCCAAAAGTTCTGAGGATGTTTCTACACTTGTCCGTATGCTTCCACAACCCCAAAACAGCCTCTTGCATGCTTCAATGCAATAATTTGTTACCTACATGATTTCGCACGCAATGGGTTCCTCACAGACTTCGTATTTTGCTTCCCCTTCTGTAGTCCTTGATGCAAACACTCCTGTACGGCAATCGCTGGCGACATCCACAGCGATGGCTGGCACAACTATGAAGGACCATTGTCTGCAAGGGTCTGCAAGTGATGCGCGACTGCCGCAGGGGCCTAGCAAGTTTGAACGATTGTTGTTGAACCTTTTGCTTGTTGTCAAGAAGTGTTCAACGATTGCGTGTTCTTGCATCGTCCAATGAACTGTAATCTATACTTGGGTAGTTTGCAGGCATGCTTGAATCCGAGCCTAGGGCCTGGAATAGTAGCTTCCGTCTCAAAGATACTTTCGAAGGGTACCACTGTACCTTGATATGGGTCACCCGCAAACAAAGAGGGCCAACACGTTGGCAACCTCTAACTCCTGGTTGGGAGGGTCTTGATGCTAATTATTTGATGTGACCTTTTGGTTCCTTCTCAACTCGCCTCAGACAGCTAGGCTCAAGCTCAAGAAGCCTCAACGCATTTTCATTCCCAGCTCCGCTCTACGTTGTTTGAACCATGTACAAGGTCCTGGCGCTCTTCTCCTTGTTCTTCCTTGTGTGCCAGGCAGTACGTCCCGGCACTGCAGCGGGTCAGAACCAGTCTGACACCACGGACTGCATCTGGGGAATGGGCAAGTGCTGCACCCCGAAGTGCGATGGCAAGCACATTTGGAAGGATGATGACGGGGACAAAACGTTGGTTTACTCTGGCTGCAAGATTGTGGAGGGCGAGTACACGCTTGAAGTGAAGGGCACGCAGCGCATGGTCAAGTCAAGCAGTGTCCAGACCGTTCTGGCCACAGGCTGGCAGTTGCCTGAAAGCAAGTACGCCTGCATTGAGACCTGTGACATCACCTACAAGCATAAGGCGGACCAGGTCCAAGTGTTTCGCGCAGGTGGCGATGAAGGAAAACCGCCGGTGTGCGGCTTCTCGCACCTGAAGCGCGATTACATCTGGTGAGCCCTGCTAAAGGAAGCTTGTAGTTTGAGGACCTTTGTAGCCCAGTGGGGTTCCTGGCGCTTAGCTTGAGTGCCCTTGTAGCTTTTAGTGTTCCGCGTGTTTGGAATCACGTAGGATTTCAAGCCACACCTGCCCGCGGCATTTGGATGCCAATCAAAGGGTAGAGTGGCTCTCTCGCACAGGCAGCCAGAGCAGTGGAAAAATCTGTGCCAGATGCATTGCTCACATACGCCGTGTGCTATGCTCCGTTGAGATATGGAACACCATGCAGACCCCCAAATTTGATTTGACAGTTGTTGGTACGACTTTTCGGGTTCCGCATTTGCATTGGGGGTTGGGGGAGGTG